CGTGTGCTTTGTTGGTGGCAAACACATACCCCGACCACCGGCACATCATGAACGTTTCATACAAATAAATGGGCGTCGATCCGACAGACGATGGTATACCTGGTAGCAAGTTCTCTCACTTGTACCGCGTGCTCTGCCATCGCACTGCATTGCATACCTTGCGAGACACCTGGACGAGCCCATTAAACGTTCCCAACTCAACTCGGATCTTTCTTTAAAACGCCAAGACATTCCAAAATTGAAATATACGGACAAGGCGTGTCTGAAAGATCCTCACATCAGAAAGCGATTGGCAGCAGTACTTGTAGGAACCGTCGGCACTTCAATTGGCAATGAGACGGATTCTACAGACGATGTGAGCATCTGGGTCCGATCTGGCTTCGAAAAGGCTTCTGAAAAATTGCCTGCGCGGGAGACGGCACCAAAACAGGCGTGGACAAGCCGGCGCACGCTTGATTTTATCGAGCAAAGAGGGATGCACGCGCAGCTAGAAATAATCCAAAGGGGAGGTTGGGAAGCAGTACGACATCTCTGAAAACCTCAGAGCATCAAGCACTCGGCCGTGCAACACCCAGATTGGACGCTGGCAGACACAGCTGCTCGAGCAGATGTTTTAGCCGACTACGTACCTCCAAGGCGTACAGTGGCAACTACGATTCCCATAGACTATCCCAGAACCGCGAGCCCCCTGGGAGATCCGCTCCTCCTCCTCCTCCTCCTCCTCCTCCTCCTCCTCCTCCGTGACTATCCGACCGTTCAGCACGAAAGCACTTCTCGGAACGCTGCGCCGGCTACGCCGTGGCAGAGTTCCAGAACCAGATGGGAGAACACCGGATGCTTGGATAACTTAGGGTCCGACCAGGATGTTTGTGAAAGCAGGAGGAGGAGATGGAGGAGGAGGAGGGGGAGGAGGCGGAGGAGGAGGCGGAGGAGGAGGAGGAGGACGGAGGAGGAGGGAGGAGCAAGGAGGAGGGGGAGGGACGACGACGAGGAGGGGGGAGAAGAGAGGGTCCGACCAGATTTCTGGGATAGCTTCGTCTATACCAGAAATGCTGAGACAAAACATCAATGCCCGAATCTTGGAGCGCGCAAGCTTAGGAACAGCAAGGTGCCAGAAGACTGCAAGCCAATGATTTTACGTCAAGCTGGGTACAAGCTTCTGACCTCCTTGATCCACCAACGTCTGACTCACGGTAGTGCTGAGTCCCGAATGGGAGGATCGCAAATTGGGTGCCGCCCTGGGCGTGGGACGGCCGACGCCCTCATGCTCGTCGGGCGCACGATTGACGCAGCCTACAGCAACAAGTATGTTGAATTGGACTGGGGCGTTCGACAGACTCAAACCAACAAGTATGCGCGACGCTTTACGACTGTTTGGGCTTCCCCAGGACGTTGTCGTCATGGTCGAAACTACCTACTCCGTGCGCTACTTCACGATTGTAGACCACACCAGAAAAATCGCACGAAAGACGGCAATTGGCAGGCATCGCGCAAGGATGCCCACCCTCCCCGTACTTATTGATTGCAGCACAGACGGTCATGTTGCACGATCCCTTTGGGTCGATCACCTTCGAGGCCGAGCTCGCCTATGTGGTGGCGCGCGACATCCTATATGCAGATAACACACGGTTGGCCTCGCAAAGCAAAACGAACTTGCAATATATGCTTAACACAAATGTTGAAGAAGGCCGGACATATGGTCTCGAGCTGAATTGGGACAAAACATTATACACATGCCGACTTCAACTACTGCCGTCGATGTTCGGCCTGATGGTGGCCTATCAAAGCTGTCTGGTAAACCATTCATTTAGGTGGGACGCTTTCTTGCGATGGTAAAGCAACAACAAATATCAACCGCCGATTGGGGGAAGCGCGTGGCATTTGAAATAAAGTGGCAGACATTTGGTTGCACGCCGCTGTTGGATGGAAACGCAAGTTCAATGTGTATGACGCAGTGGTTTGGCGTCAGCTCTTGTATTCGCTCGACTCCATGTGGTTGTTGGGGCCGACCAATCAAGGCTCGACGCGTTCCATTGCCGCTGCCTGCGCCGCATTCTGGGCATTCTGCGTTATTTCTGTTCTCGAGTGTGAAATTCATGAAGTTCTGGAAGAGCTGGCGCCGAACCACAATCTCAAGTTTTACTCGAAAGACAACGGAAGTTATATACCCGAATCGCCTCCAGTGGACCTTCATCATTAGTGCGTCAATGTTTATGTAATCTGGACGGTGACCCCAAACATTGAACCAGCGACACGGCCGGCCCAAACAGCAGTGGGCTTCCCAAGTGTACTAGCTGACGCAGCACACCTGAAGCTTCCCCTCTCCTGTCCTCGTCTCCCACGTCGCTGTTTTCTTCCTCCTCCTCCTCCCTCCTCCGCCTCCTCCTCCAGTTCTTCTTGAATCTTCCATGCTTCACAATCGAGTCTCTGTGTGCACGCAGTCCTTCTGCAACGCACTCATTGGTTTTCACGAAGAGCTGCCAATCGCGCACTCTTCTGCCCACGCGTCCATCCAGATGCTTGGCTCAGTGTGTGCGTGTGCTTTGTTGTGATCCAGGTCGCCTGCGGATGCAAGGTCCAGCCAGGTCGACGCACATACCTTCATGCAATCCTACCAGCAGGACAATGGCAGGTCGAAAGGGAAGGGTGGACCCAATGGGAAGGACACCACCCGCATCGCGCGGCACTACGCCCCCCAGTTCCCCCCGACCTGGGAAAGGGCCTGGAACGGTCAAGGGGCACCTAGTGGACCCGTTTTTCGCCGGCCACCAAGCGTACTCAATGGACTCCAGCTCATGTTCCAAGGCCTGGAAGAACGGTGCCGCAGCTGTTCAGTAAGGCGCTCATCAGCATCGCTAGAGTCGACAGCAGCCAAGGTGACGAGGCCAACCTAGTTATCCTTTGCACCACCGGAGCCAACGGGTACGGCCAGTGGGGCTTCATGCACGACCCGCGCAGAATCAACGTCGCCTTCACCCGCGCGCAAGAGGAAATCGTGGTGCTCATGACCAGTCTCATGCACAGCACCGCCACAGAGTCCCACATTAACCTACTGGCGGACTGGGCGACCAGGGCCGACCTATGGACCGGGTTCCGCGACGGCCCCGGCACCAGACATAAACTCCAAGAGACCCAAGGCTTTAGTCTTGCATGGCGGCAACAGGGCCCAATCGGAGGAGACTCCCCAGACCCCTCCTAAGAAGAGCTGGCACGGATCGAGGCGGAGCGCGCCAGACAGGCCCAAGAAGAAAGAGGACGCTTGAGGTACGAGAGCAGCGCGCCATGGGGTTCGATGGCTGGCAATGGAACTCCAAGCCACGGGTACCGCCCTGCTGATGGACCCAGCGCTGGTCCCAGTCCTTTACTACGCTCACAGCCTCTACCCTCACCTGTACGGCCCAGGAGACGCTTCTGTCAACATGTGCGAACATTACTGAAAGCTGGTCAGCCATGACGGCTTCCTCTACGATCCAGAGCTAAGCCTGGACCCGACAAACTACGTATACCGTATATGCAGCCACCTGGACATGCCTTCTGCAGCTCGCAGGCCTGCAGCCAAGCAGCAATCAGGACAGGCATAACCCTGAAGACAGACTCCTCCAAATGCCGAAGCGACTCAACACGCGCAGCCGCTGGAATCAGAGGGCGGCTTCCCACGTGCCGCCTGGGGCCCCTAGACAGCCGCCAGCAGCCTCGAGCAGTGCCACCTGTGAGTGTAGCCGACACCAAAGCCGACAAACCTTCGAACACCTACGCGCCCTGACGCAGCCCCCTGATGGCCGCGCCTGCAGACAATGCGCCGCTCAGCAAAACGTTGGCCAACAGCGTGCTGACCCTCATGCTACTGCTTATCCGAGAGCCTAGGCCCCTGATGGCGCCCTACGCAAACCCTGGCCACATCATCGACGTCCTAGAAGCAGCCCTACAGTAGGCCTGTGCGAACCCTCCAATAAGGCGCGACTATCAGTGAGAGACAGCTTCGGTCTCGCACACGGCATCACTGGGCAGGGCTTTCGAAGGCTCCACGGGCACATTGAGGCCTTCAGAGCCTCCTCTCTCGCCTGGTCACAGTTGCCCACCACCACCACCACGCCGCCAAAGAGCATCGCGGCACAAGCACCTGGAACGACCTGCTAACACTTGACTTCCCCCTGACGGGCACGCTGGCGGTCTTCGATCAGCTCACCATCACGCCACGGCCGACCTGTCTGCCCTAGGCGTGCACGAGTGTGCCGTGTGCGCACTCTCTCAAGACCTGACTGGCTCTGACGTCGGACTCCTTCTCGCCTCGCCGACCCGACCAAGACCCTATACATAGGGAGCGAGAAGACCAGCAGCAGGCGCGAGCTACACCAACCATCCCCCATAGGGGCCCTTCCAGTTCCAGGGGGGGCGCTCATCCCCGCGACTGCTCCAGGGGTCCTTACGATCCATAAGGGCCCGAGGGCGGTGCCTGGGTCAACGCAGAGGTCCGCAAGACCCCAGCAGCCAGCCGCATGGACGCCTACAAGCAGGGAGTCGACTGCCGGTGGATCTGCACCCCCTGCTGGAGGGCCGCTCAAGAGGCTACAATCCCACAGGGCGAGAACGTTGCCAGCTTCCAGCGTGACCTAGACCAGCAGCAGTCAGGCGCACCCAGGCCCCTGGGACTGAAACAGCTGCCAGCGGCACCCCAGATCGCTCTCCCCGACGCCCAAACACCTCTGGCAGCTCCTGTTGCCCCAGGAGGGACTCAACGACCCGAGCAAGGCATGTACCACCATACCGGCCCAGCGCACCAAAGACGACAGGTTCGGTGGAAAGGCGGCGACACAAGGGTGGAAAAGCAGATGCGACCGATGCCCTGATACCGCCCCACTACATGAGTGGAAGTGCGGGCAATGGCCACTGGGCATGTTCATCTTCCGCCCCGGCGCGCCCAACCCAGCATCTCCTATCCAGGGCCTGCAACCGTTCAGCGACTGGGTTAGCACCCTCCTGGCCATGCAATGAAACGCCACCTGATTCTGCGAGCGCTGCCAGGTTGACCTCTGGAACACGCGACCGACAGACGCGGTGCAGATTCTAACCAGGGACGGCGCCAAGGTGCACCCAGATTCCCCGTCCAAAAGGCCACGGCCCCCGCCGCCTCCTCTCCCCGCCCGGAACCCGTTGCTGGGGAAGCCTCCCACGCCAGCGCGGGGCATCACCCAGCTCGCAGATGCAAAGGGCCAGGATAGGATGAACGAGGCGCTCGCAGACCCTCTTGGAGCCTTCAAGGAGACCCAGGCCAGTGACCCAGCCCAAACCAGCAGAGGCCAGCCACCTCGGAAAGCCGAAAGAGCGCACATCGCCATGCAGTCAGCGTGGCGAAGCCAGGGCCGCGCCAAGCACCCTGACCCCAACCGCGCTGTCGGCTCAGGAGGGGCCCCTCCCCGCGCGCACAGCAACCCACCTCCCCGTCCGTCCCGCGAGGGCCGAGAGGGCCGGCCCCAGGACCGGGAGCGAACGTCCTCGCGAGGACCCGACCGCATGAGCCAGCCAGCGAACTCCCAGGGAGAGCAGAGACGAAGGTCAGGAGACGATCACCACGACCGCAGGGACCGCGGCACACGATCACGCGGCAAGCCACCTGCCGCGTCGCCCGCCAGCTGAAGGAGCAGGGGAGGGCCTGGAGACAGACAGAGAGCAATCGCCGTTCAGAGGACTCCGACCGCACCCCACCGCCAGACCGAGGGTGGCGACGCAGCCACGCTGCCGGACTCGGGCCACGAACGTCAGACCCAGCCACGCCCGACGCCCTCGCAGACAGGAGCCCCCAGCCTGGGCGAAAGCGACGGAGACCCAGGTCGGGACGACCAGGCCGGTGTCCCACCCCTGGGCTGACCTCACCATCGCCGCAAGGGTCCCCCTTCGACCTCCCCGACCTGCCGCCCCCTCCGTGTCCCAACCTGGCCGCGCGAGAAGTGGCCACCCTCGGCGTGTCGGCCAACCCGGATCCCAAAAAGAGGAAATGCAGGACCACACCGTCGCCCACGCCATGGTCCAACACGCCCGGGCGCTACATGACGACGTCGAGGAGGCCTGGCGGCAGCGGACCGATGAGCTGCAGCGACGGCGACCGCACCCGGACGGATCCCAGGACGCCCCACGGGATCGCCGTGCGTGGACGGAGGACGACTGCATAGGCTTCCTTAGCAGCATCTACGGCCCAACGAGCTCAGACAACGGAATGCCCAACAGATGCCCCTGGGAGGGAAGACGGGCCGCCCTTGCGCATTTGCTGGTAGTCTACCTCACCAGGCAGAAAGGACGCACGCACAACAGAAAGGACCCTGGCCGAGCAATGGACCTCCTGCCTGGAAACTGGCCATCCCCAGCTATTTCAGGACCTAGGCAAGGATCCGAACAGGTACAACCAGCACCACCTCACAGGCTTCTTGTCCTCGCGGGGGATCAAGAGCCTGAGGCCTCCACTGCTGGAGCACTGCAGGCCCAGTGCCGCTACGAATCCCGCCGCCGAGTCAATTCACAACAAAGTAAGGATAGGCCGGCCCCCAGGACAAGCGTCGCAGCTCCGCCCCAGCCAGAGGCCCCCGACGACACCTTCCCCTGGACGAGGCCAGCGGCGCAGCTGGAGGCGCAGCAGCCGCGGAGCTGGGGGCCAAGCCCGACAACTCCCCAGCCCACGTGCCCCGCCCAATCGAAGCAGACGGCACGGCCACGCCGTCGCCCTCACGCGCAGCATCGGAGGTTAATCACTCACCCGACGCTGAGACCAAAGGCCAGGACACGCAGGCAAACCCCAGCAAGGAATCCCACCCAAACGACCACGCCCAGGCAGCGGCCAGCAATACCGACCCAGAGAATGCCCAACAGTCAGTCACCCAGCTTCCACAGCACGAACAGGCCGCGGATGATAGGGCCACAGGTGAGGCGGAGGCTAGCGCGCCCAGCCTCACCGACCACCGCACCAGCAGCACAGTGGCAGAACAGACTGCATGAGCCGAACCTGCTGAAGGGCGCGTACGCAAGACACCGAAGACGGCCGAGCAAGGATACAGCCGCCAATCCCAGCAAACAAGGACGGAACACGCCAACCCCTGGGCTGGCGATCAGGGGGGAGGAAGCTCCTCATCTACGGCGCGCCCAGACCGCGCCGGCCCAGAAGCGCCCAATCGGCACAGAGCCCCGCGGCCCAATCCTGGATATACCCGCCATGACGACCCCCAGGACTCGCTATACATCCGGCCCTGGCGGATGATCAACTGGTACAGAACGTGGAATTAGAGGTCCAACGCCCGTGAGACCTGGCCTGAGGTCGTCAACAGGCTACAGAAGGACTGCGGGGCCTTCTTCGTCGAAGGTTGGAACGGTCTCTGCGATGCCAAGCACAACCGAACCCCAGGCACAGGAACCTACAACCTGGACGGGCATGACGCCTTTTGCGATGACCTGGTGAACCAGCTGTATAATGAGTACTTCGACATCCGCAGGGTCTGTAGAGCACGGGGAGTCCATGTGGACTGGAACGCCGTCTGGGACCCCCAGTTGCGGCGCAACGAGCAGCAGCCAGACAAAGGCAACGGCAAAAAGAAGGGCCACGACACGGTCGGGAAAGGCAAGAGGCGCGCGGACCCCACCGGGCCCAACAACGACCAGTCGAGGCAGCGCCGTCCCGACACGGCAGGCCTGCCAGGCATCTGAGACCCCTGCTTCAAGGCCAGACCGGGGCACCTAGCTGGTCCCCCAGATAGCAGCCCTTCCAGGCGGGAACCTGACGCGATGGCGCCACAGTTCAGCCCAGAACCCCCGGGCCATGGCGCAGACAACGTTCCCCCCCACGCCGCCCTCGCCCAGCCCGCAGTGCAATCAGGACCACGCGAGGCGCCCAGCCGCATCGGCGCTTCCCCCTTCATCGCTCTCTGGGTCGCCCGACGGCCCTGGACGCCACGCGCCAAACCACCGTGGCGGCGCGTGGCACCTGTCCCTTCATTGGTTCCTTTCGCATCTGCTTCCGCACCCATTAGGTGCCCTGGCCGTGTGCCGTCCACCCCAGCAGCGCGCGGCTCCCTTGGCCTCGGCTGCTCCACTTGAACAGCTTCCGCACCGCACCGTCCGCCCTGGCAGCGTGCGGCCTCCCGGCCTCTCGGCCACAGTTTTGACAGATTAGGTGCCCTGGCCGCCTTCTGTCCACCCCGGCAGCGCGCGGCTGCCTTCGGCCCCGGCCGCCTCACTAAAACAGCATCCGCACCGATTAGGTGCCCCTAGTCTTGGCCCGCACTGTCAGCCCCGGCAGCGCGCGGCCTCGCGGCCCTGGCCACAGTTTTGTTGCAGGCACGTCCGCTCCGCTGCCCCCTGCTGGGCAGCTCTGGGCGTGCATCAGCTACCCTGGCCTGCCGACTTGGGGCAGCGCGCAGACGTCCGCAGCAGCTCAGTGCGCGGGCCGCTTGCCTACCGCCTGCTGGCGCTGGCGCCGGCGCTGCCGCCCCGCCTGCGGGGATCTCCCTATAGGCGGGGCGCTCCTCTTCCTCGCCCTCTCTCCCTCCCCCCCCGCCGTTCTCTTTCCCCCCCTCCCTCCGCGCGCCGCCATGGCGCTCGCGAGGCTGCCGCAGCTTGCAACCTCCCCACGTGGTTGGGCACCTGGGCTTGGTCTTGCCGCCCAGTCCCCTCCACGGGCCCAACATTTTGCTGGTTCCGGTCCAAAACTAGACTGCTCGCGAACTTGCCGTGCCTTGTCACGTGCCACCCACCTGGGCGGCCTTGCGGCCCTCTATCGTCCAAGTACCTCGCCTACTTCATCGGCAGCGTCACTGCAAAATGTACCTGCTTTACCCACACAGGGCCCCGTCATCGCCCGTGGGTGCCCCGGCGCCGCGGCCTGGCAGCTGCCATGGATCCCGCCGGCGGGGCTGGCCGCGCCAGCACAGTCAGGTGAGAATTCTTCCACCTCTGAGTGGCCGGTTATTCCCCCCCCTCCGCGGCCGCCCCCTCTGCCCCTTTCCCGCTCTTGCACGCTGGCCAACTTGCTTCTCGGTGCCCCAGTTGCTCTTACTCTGCCCCGCCGCCGACGAAAAAAGTGTGTGCTTTGCTCCAGTCGTTCAAAATGTCGCTCTCGCCCCAGTCTGGGCTTCTTCTCTGGATCAGAGTTTTGTTTCATCGTTGTCGCCCCCTCATTGCCACTCCTCCGCATTCCCCACGTCCTCCTGCTTATCCCGCTCCTGCTGTTGCTGTTCGTCCTCATCTTCGTCCTTCCACATTTTCTTCCTGATCCTCCTGCTCAGCCACCACCTCGTTTTCCTATGTACGCAGCTCCCCATATTCCGATTGCGCATAACACGACGAGGTCTCTGTGTCGGAGTTCCAGGTCGGCTATGATACGCGTCCGCAGATACAGACAATAAGCAGCGCAATCCGAAGGGATGGGAGGCATGGATCGGATATCAGATGTGGCGCGAGCGCAGCTAGCTTGCACGTACACCCCTCTCTCATCCCTCTTCCATCTTCTCTCTTCGCTCTCGTGGGATGGCCCCTCGCTGTGTCTCAGCGTGCAGCGCGACGCCTGAGCGAAGACGAGGGCGAAAAGCGTGGAGCGCCTCCCGCAGGAAACTGTCGAGCTGAGTCAGGGGCCCGAGTCGCCCGTGCCAGCCCGCCCAGCCTGGAACCAGAAGAGCCTCCTCCTCTTTGATGATGTTGGTCCTTTGCGGGCCTCAAGCGGCCTCCGCAGACCTCCGCGGCCGAGTTGCACTGAAACCGCGGCTGTCCCCCTCCAACAAGTGTGGGCGAAGCAGCCCCCCCCCCACCCCCCTGCCACCCCGCCACCCCAGTCACTGAGAGCACGAGAGGGCCATGCCGCGAGTGGCGGAAAAGGGCAGCTCCAGAAGAGGAGGGACGACGATGGCGACGGCGGCGACGACAAGGACAGGCGAGGATCGCACCATGCCCCCCGCCCCGCCCCCCTCCGTTCCGCTGCCCCTCTCCTCCCCCGTCCTCCCCGCCCGCGCATCCTTCCTCTTTCGCCTGGTCCCCCCTCTCCACCTCTTCGCGCCATTCGCGCTCGACATTCTGCTGGCTGGGATTCCCGAGGGGCCTTGGGCCTGGCATCATCCCGACGACGGCGCCTGCTCTGCTCCTGACGAGGCCTGGCCAAATGATCCCGATTGGTACACCAGTCCGGGCCTTGTCCTCGAAACGCTCCAGACGGGCCTCTGGGGGACGACCGCGGAGCACCACAGCGGACGGGCCCCACGCGTCTCCCCGGCACTAACGAGACCAAGCCGAAGTCGCGCAGCAAAGCACTTGCCCCCGCCCTCCAAAGCTGAAGCCAGCGCATGAAGCCGCGAGGGAGGGGGGCACTCGGCCAACAGCCCAGTGCGCCCGTCAACTTCGAAGGAGCGCTCAGCAAAGAGTGGGCAATACCCCTCTCGATTCTGAAGGATCTCGTCGACGGTGGCTCATCGTCCCAAGGCCACCCAGCGGTGTCGCGAGCATTGCGACGAGACTTGACCGCATCTGCTCCCGAAGCGCAGCCTTCCGCTCGCGTGGGTTCTCTGGGACGGCGCGCCTGCGAGCACGTCGGTGGAGCTGAGACGAAACCCGCCGATGATGTCCGCGCGATTTCTGCCATCGTGCTGGATGCGCTCGGGTTCTTGCTGACGGCGACACAACACCGCGGCATGCGGCCCAAGCCTACTTTTTATCACACCAGACGTGCCCATGTTCTTGTTGTCCTGGATACCATGAGTAGGTTCCTCTGCATCTTACGACCATTTGTGATACTCCAAAGACAGCACGAACCAAGCCCGTGTCGACGTTCCGACGCTGTGCCGAAGACGCCCGTCTCAAGGAGCAGGCGGCCGAGGGAATTGGTACTCGACCGCGCTACTGGCTCCGGGTTCTCCATTTCAGCGGGATGGGCCCGCCTCACGGAGGCAACGGCCGAGCTCATCCTGCACCCAGGCCCCACACTAGACCTCCCCAGCGTCGCCCCGCGAAGCGCCTTCTCGCGCCGCGTCCCCTTGACGGCAGGATCTGGCTAGGAAGCGACGCGCCTGGTGGGGATGCTCCAAACACCCGAACCTTCGGCGCACCTCGTGGGCCTGGATTGCTTGTGCTGCAGGGCTACACCCGCGCGCTCTAGACTCGCCCCGTGCCGTTAAAGAAAAACACATTTGGAAGTTTTCTCCCAGGGCCCAGCCAAGCAAAGGATGCGACGTGGGGAGATCCTGGCATCTCGGAAAGCCATGCAGGCCACCAAAGGCCGAGACCTGGGATACGTTACCGATTCCGCTTCCGTTTTGGATTGCCGCTTGAAGCACATGCGTGGCAGGTGGAGGCCGAAGTCACACGAGGACCAATGGTGCCCTGTGACGCCGCCCATCCTCCAGAGTAGGGACGCTCGGGTCGTGAAGGTGCTCAGTCACCTTCGGGGCGAAGCAGGGCACCGTGTCAGTCGAGACATGCTCACCGTGTCGGCGTTGACGACGCCGCGGGTCGTCGCGCGGCCAGGCCTCCGCACGCCGCGCAGGCTCCCGAGTCGGAGGCGCTGCCCCCCCTTGTCCGGAATTCGAGCAGGAGGCAGAGGCCATCAGGAACCGCTCCTGCGCCGTCTGGGCCACGAAGCCCGCCACCCTCCCCGCCCTTGGCGACGCCTCCATCCGACCCCTTGGGGGCTGAGGAGGCTGGGGGGGGGGTCCCCAGCGGGAACCTCGGGGGTGGCGGGTCTTTCTCTCCTCTCTCCCTTCGGGGCACGCGGGCTACGGCCGAAACCCAGGCCAGACGAACGTCCTTCAGGAACACGAGACACTCCGTGTGCCAAAGCGAACAGAACATCCAAGGTTGCCCACCCCCAGGATGGAGGGGGAGGAAGAGGAGGAGGACAAGGAGGAGGAGGAGGAGGAGGAGGAGCACAAGAACATCCAACAAGCACGAAGAACATTAGTGCACCCTCCGCGAACCGACCTCGATCTTAGAATTACCCCGGCCCGACGGTACGACGAGCTGGCCCGCGGGGGCCCGGGGGGCCCGCCGCCCCCCAGCGCGTGGCGCGGAGGGCAGGGCGCGCCGCGGCGAGGTCGGTGGGCGCCCTCCCCCCCTCTGGCTTTACTCTGGCGATCGCTGTTGTTATTCATTGTTTTGCCGATCGGTGCGGGCCCCCACCACCCCCCTCCCCCCCTCCTCCTCCTCCTCCCTCCTCCTCCTCCTCCCTCCTCCTCCTCCTCCCCCCCCTTCTCCACCTCCTTCTCCTCCTCCTCCTCCTCCTCCTCTCCTCCTTCTTCTTCCTCCTCCTCCTCCCCACAATTACTCAATATGAATACTACTCTCCTCCTTCCCCTGATGACGGGTTGGGAGTGTTCGCCCCCCCCCCCCCCCCGCGTACTGTTTTTTCACACAGGATTCCCCGGAGTTGGGTTTTCGCCTGCATTTGTTTTCAAAATGCTGCTCTCGCTGAGGCGCCGGCCTCATTTTCGGGCCCCGCTCGTTCCGAATCGTGCTCCCGCTGCAGCGCTGGCCTCATTTCCGTGCTTCCGCTCGTTCCGAATCGTGCTCCCGCTGCAGCGCTGGCCTCATTTCCGCGCTTCCGCTCGTTCCGAATCGTGCTCCCGCTGCAGCGCTGGCGTCATTCCCCGTGCCATGCCACGGCATGCAATGCAATGCTAGGTTGCGTTTCGCTGCGCGATGCTATGCCCTGCTGAAGCTGTGATATGCAGTGTTTAAGCGCCATGTCGTGCTCTGCCATGCTACGCTCTGATCTTCAACGCCATGCTATGCAACGTTATGTTCGGGGCCGCTGTGCGATGCCATGCTTTGCGTTGCAAAGCTTTGTGATGCAATTCTGCACTACGCCACGCCACGCCATGCTGTGACATACTACGCTTTGCGGTGCTCTTCTACGCCATGCCATGCCGTGCTCTACAATGCATCGCGTACCCTTTCGGGATCATTGCCCTGCTCGACATCGGACTGTGCGAGTAGAGAGGGGATCTACGCCATGGTAAGGGATGGGAGGGAGGGGTAGGATGTCAGATATGACGCGAGCGCACCTAGCTTGTCCTCCCCCCCCTCACCCCCCCTGGAGTGGATCCTGGCTGTTTTTGGGCCCCTTTGTCGAGCAGGTTGAGTCTCTCTCCCCCATCAGACGCACTGCTGCTGGAGCCAGACCCCCCCCCCTCCCGCTCTTCCGCCCTGTGTCGAAGCGCCGAATAAAAAAACGCTCACCTGGGGGGGCGAAAAAGGCAGGATAGCAAGCAAAGGGCAGGGCAGAGACTTTGCGCACGTGGCTGGTTTTCCTGGCGCCTCCTGGCGCTGCGAGCCGGGAGACGCCCACGTGTCTTGGAATGGGCCCGGCGGCGGGGCGGAAACTAGCTGCACGCATCAGACTTCGTAACCCCCCTTTCCCCTATCCCCCCCTTTCGTCTGGCCCGAATGAAGATGGTGGGACGTCGGTCGAAGGCGACGCTGGCCGAACCCGTCGTCACGCTGTTTCCGCGAAGAGGCCCTCAAAGACGAGTTCTGAAGGCGCGACCAGTCGTGGAGGACGCTGATTTTGAGACGACTTGGGCCGGTCTCTGGCGGGTGAGATCTGCGACGGACTGGGGTCGCACCACCCTCGCACCAAGGGCAAGGTGCCATCCGAGCGCTGTGCCCCACGAGGGTGGGGAGGACCTAACCGTGGACGGTTGGCCACAGCTTTCCCGCCGCGAGGGTGAGGCGGACGAGGCCGGCGCCTCGGCCTAGAGCTGTGCGAGAGGCACCCTGCTCAGCAAAGCAGCAGTGCCTCCTGCTTCCCTCCCTCCTCCTGCCCCCACTCGCATCCCGATGCCCTTCCCCCCTCGCTTCATACCCTCTCCCCCTCTTCCCCCTTCCCCTCAACGATCACGACGGCGGCGGCGACAACGACGACCGCGAATGTGACCCCTCGGCATCAACCTTCCGCGCGGCAGGCGCCGCCGCGGCGGCGGCCGCAGCGGCGCGCGCCGCATCCATCGACTAAGGGAGCGCCGAAGGTGGAGGCCGAGGGACGGCGGTGGCGTGACCGCGGCGGCGACGAGCACGGCAGCGATGGCAGCGGCGGCGGCGAAGGCGGCGGCGGCGGCGGCGACGACCGCAGCGGTGGCGGCGACGCTCACGGCGGCGACGGCCGCGGCGGCGAGGAGCCTCAGCTGCTCCCTGGACTTCACGCACACCAGCGCCACGGGCGGCTCGCCGCGGGACCCCAGCCTCTCGCGGGCGTCACCTCGGACCCGCCCCGCCCCTGTGGCGGGCGCCGCACGCCCCCCGTCGCGGCGGCGGCGGGCGGAGGTGGCAGGCGGGAAGCGGGCAGTGGGGAGGCCCCTCCTCTTCACTGCCGCCGCCGCCCGCCACCTCCCCATGTGGGGAGGGCGGGGAAGGAGGTGGGAGGCGGGACGGGGCTACGGTTCAGGGGGAGGAGGATGGGAGGGGGAGAAGGGCGGGGACAGGATAGGGGGAGGTGGGGGCAGGCAAAGGGGAAAGGAAATTTGTCCTTGTCCCTGCATGTGCTTAGGGTCGGCAGTTATGCTGCAGGTGTTTGTTTATATGTACAGATATTATACATTGCCCATAGATATGGATATATCGCCACGCTGCGTATAAGGGTGAAGGGGGAGGAGAAGAGAAGGAGGTGGAGGTGGAGGGGTGGGGCCCTCCTGCTCCTCCTCGACGGTAGAGGTTGATGTTTTCGTCTCTTGTGGGCCTCCAGGGGCCCCCGGACCCTTCCAGAAGCCCTTCAGGGCACCTGGAGGCCTCCGGACCGAGGGAGGGGAAACAGGGCGAGGGGAGACGGGCAATATTGGTGCGCTGGCGCCATATCCGACAGATCCTTCCGAACCATGGAGCTGAGTCCCTTCCGTTCGCCGAGTCGAGAATACCGAAGAAGGCATGGGTCCAACAAAGGCATTGTTTCTGAAACGTGGCAGAAGCTAAAGCGGGAAACACCTCCCTTGCTGATGCTGTAGTGCGACCCGCGCGGAGGCGAGAGCGTCTTTCTGTGGGACGGAAGCTCTATTCAAATCTATGCGTGTGGCATTAGGTAAGCTGTGCTGGGAAATAAAGCCTTTTCTTGATGCAAACAATGCAGCCAACGCTGTGGCGGGAGCGTCGTTTCATTGGACGGAAACTCAATGTCATGTCTCAAGCGCGACAAGCGCTTCAGCCGAAAGGGCAGCTTCTGATCCTAGAATGCGGGCAGTGCCGCAGCGAGTGTGGCTCCGTTGGACGGAGGACCTTTCTAAGCCGCTAAACGTGGAAAGCGCTGCAGCTAGAGCACAATGTAATTACCGAGAACGCTCAGATGAGCAAAAACCACATCGGCCACCCTACTTGGGCGATCCTGTGTACCAGGGGAGAAGACAGAGAGAAGCAGTCACACCGAGTTATTGTGGAGAGGCAAGCTCGCCACTTTCGCGCTACTTCTGGCATGCTGCCCCTCCCACCTATTTTCCCTGCCCATTGCGTCGAACCCCTTCTTATCGGGAACGGCGGGGAGGACTGGTTCAAGAGGGGTGACTTCGACGGCTGCTGGGGCGCCTGAGGTCTAGCTGGGGGCCCTTGGGTCGGGCTGGGAGGGCCTCAGGATTAGCGAAGCCGACCTCGTCCAACAAACCCTTCTGGCAGCCACCAATCCTGCTCGCCAAAACGCGGGTCGCACCGCGCATTGGTCCCTGACCAGCGCGTGAAATTGCCCTGCTCGTCGGCTGCTAGGGCCGCGCAGCGCGCAAGGAGGTCGGGCGACGCGTGGGCGGACAGATCACGCGCACGGTGGAGCAGCGCCGTTGAAGGCACAGACGCAAGGGAGGAGGAGACGGAGATGAAGCAGGGGAGGCGGAGCAAAAGGGTATGATGATGGATCAACAATCGACAAAGACGAAGAGGAATAACGATGACGATGGAAGCAAGCACGAATCTTAGGCCGAAGAGGGACGGGGAACGGCATGTACGGGGTAGAATGAGGAAGACGATACGTACGCAGAAGGATGGGGAGGAGTGAAGAAGGGGGGAGAGGAGGATTAGCATAAGGGGCATGGTGAGCATGAGCATGCGAATTAGCACGAGAATGAGAGGGACTCGAGGCGATGGGCGGGATGGGGAGGGACATGTGGAAGGAGGGGGAGAGACGCGGGAGGGGAAAGGGTTGGGGAGAAGGGAAGTTGGAGCGGGGCGTGAAAAACATGGAGAAAGCGCAAGGACCGTGGCTGGTAGGGGAACAGGGGGAACGGGAGCCGGAGAGGGATCGGGGATCCTGATGGGGAGGCGAGGAGGAGGGGTAGGAGGAAGAGTGAGGCGAGGGAGAAGGAGGTGAATGGGGGCGGGAGCGAAATCTTGCTTCTCTTCCTCCATCTCCCCTTCCCTCTCAAGTTAGGCCTGCCGCGTATCCTTTTTCTCCTCATGCTCCTCCGCTCTCCGTCGCTGTCTCTGCCTCCGTCTCCCTCATGCTGGCCACAGAAACACCGAGGGTGCACGGCCAGCCGAAGCCAAGAAATGGGGGGAGGGGGCGCAAAAAAGATAGTGGTAGGCGCACCGCTGTCCCGAATAGGCCCCCCCCCCGCAGTGGGGCAAAGGGCGACTCCAGGAGAGCACGAGGCCCGCCCTGGCGCAGGACGAAGCCAACCCGAGGCGCCCTCGATGCCAGGCGCGGGGCTCGAACCTAGCAGGCTACAATGACCCGGGGGGAGAAGGGGATGAGGGGGTTGGAAGGGCCACTCTCTGGCCTGGGAGCGTAAGTAGCGTCCACCTGGAGCTAACCAGGGCCATGTCGCAACTCCCCGAGAAGAAAGGGGGCGGCGAGGATCAAACACCCCGCTGCTGGCGAGACCCAACTGGTCATACTCCTCCTCCTCCTCGTCCACCTCGTCCTCCACCTCCTCTTGCTCCTCCTCCTCCACCTACTCTTACTTCTCCTCCCCCTCGTCTTCCCTGTGTTCCTCCTCCCGATAAACAGTCCTGCTCCCCCATCCTTCTCTGCATCGATCTCCAAATCCTCCTCCTCCTTCTCCGCCCTATCCTCCCCCCTCTTTCATCCTCTCGCTCAGCGTGATCCTTCTCGTCGGCTCCAGTGCAGTCAGGCAGCTTCCTAGAGCCCGCGGGACGACGAGGAGTTTGAAGACGAACGATGGGGACACGACGTTTGTTCACCATCAGGGGTCTTGTCAGAGCTCGATGTCCACCGATCTCGCAAGTCGGCCACCATGTTTGTATCTGCCGAGGGTGGCGTGGGTGCACGGTTTCCCCCGGGGCCGTAGGCGACCCAAGGAAGAGGAGGTGGAGGAGGGGGAGGGGGAGGAGGAGATGGAGGAGGAGGAGGAGGAGGAGGAGGAGGAGAAGGAGGGGGGGGGAGGGGAGGAGAAGGAGGAGGAGGAGGAGGAGGAGGAGGAGGAGGAGGAGGAGAAGGAGGGGGGGGGGAGGAGGAGGAGGAGCAGATGGAGGAGGAGGAGGAGGAGGAGGAGGAGGAGGGAGGAGAAGGAGGAGGGAGGAGTAGGATGATGATGATGATGATGATGATGATGATGATGATGATGATGATGAGGAGGAGGAGGAGGAGGAGGAGGAGGAGGAGGAGGGTGAAGGAGGAGGAGGAGGAGGAGTTGGGAGCCCTTCGGAGAAACCCTCAAGGCGCAGGGAAGAGGAGGTGTACTAAGAATGATTCCCCCCACAATGACTGTGCTGGAGTCGTAGCCCTTGGGGGGAGTGCCCCTCGCGTCCGTCTGCTCCCTCCCCATCCCCCTCCCCCCTTCCCCCCTCCTTAATC